CCTCCCCCGCCCTTTTCTTCCACCATCCCCACCCCTCGCTGCCCCTCCTTTTACGCTCTCTCATGGAGTTCCTCACTAAGCGTTGAGATTCCTGCCAACCAATCAGGCTGGAATAAACGCCTCCCACAATCCTGGTGTCTGGGCACGGCAGAATTCTCTCCCCTTGGTCGCCTGCACGCCCAGCTGCTCTCGGTCAGCGCGTGCTAGCTGGACCATACAACACTCTGTGATGCACCAGCGACCATGTCTACTAATGAACGCACTAGCGTTTCCTAATGAACGCATTTAAGTGTTTTTCCATCGAATGCAGCATCAATTTCTTATGAATCCATCAGCATTTTGTAAAGCACGCAACACCGATTTCCAATGAACACATAAATACGAATTTTGATTAGATAAGTCTGTTTAGCGCTTCTTTGACTATGGCGATAAAAGTTAAAAGTGACGTAACAAAAAAACTTCTAGTCTTGGAGCGTGCTCTGTTATACAAAAGCTTGGTAAGTCTCGAAGACTTGGAGATTTTGAAAGTGTGATTACCAGTGAACTTTCAGGGATATTATATTCTTTTTTTCAGACTTAAATTCATGCTATTCCAGAGTCTAGATCTAGTAAAGAAACATTGTGACGAGTGATTTCCAAGGGATGCTGAGGGTGCACCTATATTTGTGACCACAGTAAGTATTAAAACAAAGATTTTAAGGTTTATATTCTTTTGGCATTTGCGGATGGTTAAAAGGTGCCCTTAGTATTTGTAGAATCTTTTCCCTTTTCGATGATTTTTTCCTCATATACCCCCCCCCCCAACCTCTGAATTCGACAGAACCATTATCGGGTCGATGTGCTTCTCTTTTCCTCAATGAAATACTTCTTTTCCATTACGTTCTTTGGCCCGCCGAGTTACGCTGAAAACTGAGATCCCCTCCTCGATAATAAGGTGATTAAAACGATTGGATAAGATCAGTCTCATCCCTCTCTCCGAAAAAGATGGTTGTAGATGACGTCATGGAAATAAAACAAGGAAGACAATAAAATGCTGTCGTCATAGTTGGACACTTTGTTACATCTTTTGTCCCAGCAATATGAACTATCTACTAGGCCTAGCGCCAGTTTCAGAATTACATTTTTGAGTGCAGAAGTCTTAATTTTGCAATAGTTTCAGAAGACTCCTGGTAGGTCCTATTGGAAAGCCGCAATCGCTTACACGCTCAGACCTTCTTATCAGAAACATAGCATTTAATTGATACTGATACAGTTTAACGTTTGTGAAAAAGATATGGGTTTATTTTTTCGTTTTCAAACCGAGGGAAACAGAGTACATGTGTATAATAATATACAGAAAGTTAACTCTGCAAAACTGTCACAACGATTAGTAAGTTGATTTGCATTCACTGAGATCATGCAGTGGCCCCTGCTTTTATCCAGTAGTTCACCTCTACTCAAGTGGTTGTCTTTGTATCAACGATAAAAGCCAACAACAATTAGTACTGAATCAATGAACTCCTCCCCCTCTCTATGTACCCCATCCCCTCTTTCTCTCTTTCTCTTCCTCCCCTACACTCTTTCCCCCCAACCCCCTCCCCTCCCCCCTCTCTTTCCAATCGTTTAACAAATAGAAGACAAATACCAAACAAACCTCCCAAACAATAACAAGCCAGAAACAGCCCCAAAAGGAGAGCCAGCAATAGAAAGAAACAGACTCAAAGAACCTCTGGCACTAAGAAACAATTTTAACATGGTTGCGTATTTTTAAAAAGTTGTAGAAACTGTGAAGAGGTCAAGAAAATGGCCTATGGAATTTTATAATCAGACTGTGTGAAAGGATTTTTCCCCCTTTAATTAAAAAGCCATCGGCTCCTCTGCGAACAGGATGATCTAACTGTTTCAAACCAGCGAGCAGACTGAATTAACTCAACAAAAGAAAGGAAAGCAACTCAGAGAAACACCTTCCAAGAGAAAATGTTCTGAGGGAGAAACTTGTAATTTAAACGTGGTTTTAAGATACCCCCCCCCCCCCAGAGCATTTACGCGGGAGGGAGACTAATCTGGCAAATCAAGTGTAAGCATACTAAAGAGAATCAGCTAGAACGGTGATTGTAAACCTTTTTATAGCCCACTTTTGCCACTTTTAAGAGGCTAAAGTTTTCGTAACGCCCACCTACATGCATCTCCAAGAAGGCATAGCCTTTTAATTATACCTTTCACTGCCAGGATGACCCGCCTCCGACAACTAAAATTCAAATGGCTCACTAGGGAGCGATATCGCCTAGACTGGAAAGTCTAGAAGTTAAAGAACTCAGATGCAGAAAAAAACCCGACCCCCCCTCCCCCCAACAAAACAAAAGCCACTATCCACAAACAATCCCCCCCAAAAAAACCCAACAAAAACAAACAACAGCTACAAACAAACAAACAACAGCAACAAACAAACAAACAACAGCAACCCAAAACAAAATAAAACAACAACAACTACAAAAAACAAACCCCTACCACTCCCCCCAAAAAACAGCAAACAACAACAACAAAAAACAACGACAACAAAACAATGAGCTTAATTTCTACTGAAGTCTCAGTTCGTTCCTTGATCTCTTTATCTTCTTTTTAAAAAATATTATGGTAGAGGGTTTTACGGCGCTCGCAACTGCATAAGGTCATATGAGCGCCAAGGGGTGGGTGTCAACCGAGACGTCTTTACGGGGAATCAGACTTAGACTGCTCACCTCTCTAGCTTCAACAGCACAAGGTCTGCTTCGACTATCAAGGCACCCCAAAATAGCAGGTCACAAGAGAGTGACAAACATACAAAAGAAGTAGAGGAAAATGACAATAGTAAGGATCAGGAAAGAAAAAAAGCAGCAGTTCCCTGTTGTAGATCAGGCACAGTTATGAGCGTGACATGAGTCAGCCCATTTACAATTCTACTATGCTTGAACGAGAAATGTCCCCCCCCCCCCTTGGGAATGGCCTAAAGACACTACAGTCAGTGGCACTTCCCCGGGGGGTGTCATTATCTTCATCATAATATTATCGGCGATATGTGATATCATAGACGTCATTCGTTAACTTATCGCTCCTTTCGAAAACTAGACGGCGATCACTTCAGAATATATACAATAAAAATCTCCAGACATCCAAATCACAGTTGGTTGTTAAATTCATGACCCATCAGCACGTACATCTAACACGAATTAACATTTTCTCACTTTCTTTTCTTGTTTTTTTGTTTGTTTTGGTGTCGGTACTTTTGGGTTCCCCCTTAGTAATCACTCGTTTTCGCCTCACTAACAGAACGTTGATCTCTATCTATCTATCTATCTATCTATCTATCTATCTATCTATCTATCTATCTATCTATCTATCTATCTATCTATCTATCTATCTATCTATCTATCTATCTATCTATCTATCTATCTATCTATCTATCTCTCCCTCCCTCCCTCTCTCTCTCTCTCCCCCCCCCCCTCTCTCTCTCTCTCTCTCTCTCTCTCTCTCTCTCTCCTACAGTGCAATCAATCAAGAATACAGAACAAATCAAATGACATTAAACCCGATTTTGTTACTGTCCCGAAAACAATCAAGGTGGGACAATATCAAATTTGGGTTTTACTGACATGTGCTTCGTAATCTTGATCCATTCCTCTATTACATCAACATTAAAAAAATATTGAGTTCTCTTCAGTGACAAAGCTGACATAAACGTCTGTTAGCTTTTCAAAGAAATTTGCCCTCTCTAACACGTACAGTAGAACTTGATCCAACCGACTTTTACCCAACAAGTCGCAGACAGAAGATCAAAAAGTAACAGTGAGGTTCACTTCTGCAACATAGAGTAGGAGGAAGAATATGATATGATAGAATGAAAAGAATTCATTAGAAAAGAATGGTACTGTTTCATCTTTCGATAATTTTTTTTTCTAAAATGACCCACAAAAGGATTGACCATAATTTTTCCTTGCTTTTGCAAAGAACCCAACCCTGGGCGTGCTTTTGAGCCTGTGTCAAGTCTTGCTCCGGAACGAAAGTGGTCGTTTCGCGTGTCATGCTTGGCATTTATGTTGGGTCTAGTTCATTGATCCTGACATCAAGACAGCACAGCACATGCCTTGACCAACCTTTGTAAAAGAAAGTTTATTACCGTGAAAAAACTTTGACCTGAGATTAAAAATGGGCGTTACTTAACTTCTTCAGTCAAAACATTACAACAAAACAACACTGGCTGTAAACAAACCCAAAGTCAAGGTATGAGAGCTTGCAACTAATGACAAAGAAAACTTTTTCGTGTGCGAAAAACTTACAACTATTTAACAAGTTACCGGGATCTAAATTGCTCGTCAATTTCCTGAAAATGTTGCTTAATGGCATTTTTAAGGTAAACTTTTTTATGGCTTGTGAACGTGCCTAACTTATTTGATTCTGACAAATTTTTCTTTGCTTGATTTGGCTTGTTTGCGTGAACAGAACTGCTTTTGGTGATGGTACTCTGGACCCCCCCCCCTTTTACTTAATGCTATGAAAGTGAGTCTTCAGTTTAAATCTATGAATCCACATTTTCAACATACTCCGAGTTTCCGTCAGATAAATAGAGTAAGTAGTCAGCGCTACAGGTCCAAATGTCAAAACATGAACTGAGTAAAATATTCTTCTCGTGTAAGATTTTTGAATAGTGTATTGTTCCAGTACAATAAACAGCAATTCTGCCTTTCATCTCATTCTAAATGTGTCTTATGCGTATTTAAAAAACTTTCAGTGTGCTTGTCTCTCTGGGGTATTAGTTTTGTTACGGTTGTATAAGCTTACTACAGGAAAACGTGCAAAGGGTGAATGTAATGATATTTAGTTGCTTGTATACTGCAGTCTCAGCAGAATCTGCAATTCACGACTAAAAACCCTACCTGGTATCTTCTCTTTTGTTTCGCGAAGAAGGAACCGACTGCACTTACGAGCACTTAATGGAGAAACATCCCTCTTTATACTATTTGTTAATTGGGGATATTTTGGGGGGAGGGGGGGGGGGTTGAGTCTTAAAGTAATCTTGGAGTCCTGAAACGGATTTTTTTTAAGTTGAAAGGGAAGAGGCACGATCTCATGATTCGTACTAGAGATGTGATCCATTCATAATTTTACAGGATCAGGACTCCTTAGGTCGGTGAATCTAATGGTTAATCGATGCTGAAAACCTACAATCATCTTTTAAAAAAAAGCAGGAACCGTTCAATAATACACATTACTAAGACTACAATATTTGCTTTTGCCCCCAGTCCCCTTCTACCCCCCCCCAAACCACATCCCCTATCCTCCCGCCTCTCTTCCCTCTATCGCCCCTAGACCATTAAATTTCGATCCCCTGGAAATAAATGGGAGCTCTTGACCCATATCAGGCACGGCTACAGAGACAAAGCTTTGGTCTGAGTTTAGCGCCCTCACAGACGGGAGAGTTTCCTGAACCAGCGCTTTAAACTTGGGCAGCTCCTTAAATAACAAAGCAATGTATAAGACCCCCTCCCCCAACCCAATCCCCAGCCTTCTGTCAGAAAATAAGCAACTCCCCACTAATCCTCCAAACCACTGCAAATAATAATTTGTTAAGTCTAGAAGACACCCATGCCGCATATCCTCTTCCTTAACTCAAAACATACCCATTCTTCCCTCTGTCTAATTGCTCCACCCCACATCCTCT